CAAAGGAAGTTGTGCATGAATCACCACCACCACCATCTGCTTTACAACGACTCGGTAGCATCGGCAGCGACTATCGGGACCACTCCCATACGGTTAGATATGTCACCCGAAGTCGTATGCGGGACCAAGACGATCCCTTTTTTCTTACTCCAAAGGGATATTTTTGATCTTCTCGCTGGTACTGATATGTTATGTGTATCAGTGTTGCAGCTTTGGGAAATGTAAGTATATTTACATATTTTTTATATTCTCACTGGTACATTATTTTATAACTTTATTTATTTTCAATGTTGAAGGTATTTACATCGTTTGTGTGTTGAGAGGAAGATCCGCTTTCTCTATAGATTTCTTGACCCTGTTGTCATTCGATCAGTTGGGAATAAAGTCGAAGAGGTGCAAACGTACTTAACGGAGGCATTTCAAACTAGGGGCAAAGAAGTCTACTTAGCACCTTACTTGCATCGGTAAGTATACATCTTATAAATTAATGCACATTTATGTAAAACTGAAATTTTACTAATATTATTTCAACGTGCGAGGGTCATTGGCAGCTCATAATTATTGTTCCTCGGCAATTTCTTGTGATTCTCTTGTGTTCATTACACAAGAAACCAAATGATTTGGATATTAGAAAGCACATAGACGCGTAAGTTTGGTTTTTTTAATTGTTGTATCATATGTGCACTACTTACACCAAAATTATTTGTCCTTTTGTAGAGCTTTGGAAGCTCACCTAAGGTTGCAAGGCCTTCCATCTCATGCTAGAAAGAAGTTGACGTATATTGCACCAAAGGTGACCAAACATTCCTCTTACTTGTTGTTCAATTTGTCATTTAAAGTTAATCCGACATGTATTTAACTTGTAGTGTCCACGCCAACCGAGCAAGCCATGAGTGCGGGTATTATGTGATGAAGCACATGCACACCATCGTAGACAAAAATATTATGACCTCATGGAGGGAGGTAAATATACTATAATTAAGTCAAATATGCCAATTATGTAAATGGTTTCTAAATCTGAAATGTTTCAATATGTAGGCATTTACAGACTCATCTCCAATGAAGATTGAAGTGTTAGACGATATTAGAGAGCAGTGGGCTTCTTTCCTTTTAAGCATTCAATCTTCATAGGAAATTTGACTTGTAACAATTTAGATTGAATTGATTTAAGTTAGGAAATTTACATTCGTTTAAGTAAATGAACTGTCTGGAACTGGATCTGTCTGTACATATATTGATTTCAATGTGTTTCATATGTACATATCTGTCTGCAACAGGATCTGTCTGTACTGGATATATATATGTAGCAAATTTATATATGAACTGTGCATATCTGTCTGTACTGGATCTGTGAATATTTGTCTGGAACTGTGATGAATAGGCAGGTCTACTCGAAGAAAGGTAGCATCTCTAAAGAAAATGCAGGTATTTAAAAAAAAATAACACTTTCTACGTCGGTTAATGACACAACCGACATAGAAAGTTTAACATTTTACGTCGGTTATAAGCATAACCGACATTGATAACACATACAATCACGGTTACTGTTAACCGATATAGATACTGGGGTTATAGAAAGTTAGAAAGTAAGACTTTTTATGTCGGTTATCAGTGTTAACCGACATAGAAAGTATTATGACCGATCAGAACCAGTTATGACCGATCAGAATTGCTCATACAAAGTAGGACTTTCTACGTCGGTTCCCTTAATAACCGATGTAGAAAGTCATCTTATGACCGATCAGCACCAGCTATGATCGAGCAGAGTAGCTCTATGACCGATCAGAACCATTTTGACCGATCATAGTAGCTCATAGAAAGTAGGGCTTTCTACGTCGGTTGTGAGGAACCGACGTAGAAAGCCTTACTTTCTATGACCCCCGTATCCGCGCCTCACTCAAGCTCCCTCACTCTTTCCTTCGTCTCCCTCAATTTCACTAACCTCCTCTATAACCCGCCACCCACCTCCTTCACCAGAACCCTAGCTGCAGCCTCCCCACTCTCGAGCACCCCACTTCGTCGTCCCCTTCGTCGAGCCACCGCAAGGCCAAGTCGCAGTCGCGGCCTCACCCTAATCCAACCTCCACCAAAGCCCCTCGTCATCCACGACAACCACCACCATCGAGCGTCCCAACCCCCACTCCTCACCTCGACGCCGGCTGCGGTCACCGCCTCTCCTCGCTCCAGCCCACCCCCATTGTGCCACCGAGCTCGTCTGTGAGCTAGAGGTGAGATATAGAGGCAGCCGAATTAAGCCTGGTATTATGCTTTAATCCTATTTCTTTCACATTTTTTGGAGTCTCGAACCGTTGCGCTTAGTTAACTATTAAGCCCGAGTCCGGTTTATTTGCATATGAATCATTGAATTGGTGGCTCGTTAGTTGAATAAGATCTTGGTTTATTAAGGTTTTTTGTACCGTTATTTCGTTTAGTTTGGCTTGAATCTGTGGTTTTCACTTGATGAGGTTGAGACTGGTGTTATCCAAGTCCTATTGGCTTGGTTCATGTCTCTGTGGCTTAGTTTCTTGGTGGGTGAGTTAAGAATGTGTTTCCACCTTACAAATGCTTCATAATCATGACCCCAAAAAACTTACATTATGGCCATATAAAATCCATTTAGGATTAGTTTTAGCAGTAAAACTTACATTATGGAAGTTGTATCTTACACCAGTTGTGAAATGATAATTCTCATTGATATTTTTGACATTAATTGCTGTCTTTTATAATTATTCTTCAGTATTGCATTCCATTCTGTTTCTAAAGTGTTTTTATATCAATCAATATAGTAAACCTCCCGACAAATCTCAATTCACAAACTCAACTACAGCTTTGGTAATACTCAAAACTAGGCAATCCAAGAGAAATAAATGTTCACTACTCGAATACTTGTAGAACATGGATCAATTTTATGCAAATCGCTATTGGATGTATGATCGAAGCCATAGTAATAGAGGTGGTTTAAAACAAAGTTTTGTTGATGGCATTGAAGAGTTTGTCATGAAAGCTTCTGAACAAGTTTGTTATCAAAATGAAGGCCAAACGAGATGTCCATGCAATAAATGTCAATGTACAAAGATCTTGCCAATGGAAATGGTTAAACTTCACCTTTATAAAAATGGTTTCATGCCTGATTATTATGTTTGGGTTGATCACGGTGAGGAAATGCCTCATGCTAACAAAAATTGGACACATGCTTCAAGTAGTGGGTTACATTTATCAGAAGATGAGGCATTTATGGCAATGCAGGACATGGTGTATGACACACTTAGGCAACATGAAACATTTCAACCACCAGAGTCAAATATCATGGAAGAGCCTCCAAATGAAGAAGCTCAAAGATTTTATGATTTGTTGTTGGAAGCGAATAAACCTTTGTTTGAAGGTGCTTTAGACTCCAAGTCAAACTTATTGGATGTTTGATGATGTGTGGAAAACTCTGTTGAACAAGTGGAACTCAATTGATTATCGTACAAAGTGTGCACAAGCTCAGAAGAATCGATCTTCTGAGACGGGTGGTAGTTTACACACAGGTGGTTCTATTAGTATGCATGAACACGCCATTCGTATGGTAAATATGAAATTATAACAAAAGTTTCTTTCATTCATTTCTTCATGATATGTTATTAATTAATTTTTTTTCCAGGAAAAGGAGTTGGGTCGTCCTGCACATATTGATGAGGTGTTCAAACAGACTCATATACGAAAGGTTAATGGTGAATTTGTTGATGAAAGGTCTAGAAAAACTCATGTGAGTTGTGAACTTATTTAATATTACTCTATTACTCTCTTATATGTTATGATGGATATGTGTTGTATATCGTACATAATTTTTATTTGTATGTGAATAGGAAGAATTTCAGAGAAGATACTCTGAGGCTAGATCTGAGGCAGCATCCTGTGCTGCTGAAACCGAGTCATCTTCATTAGATCCTATAGAGGAGGAGAGAATAAGGACTGAAAGTTGGATTCTTGCTGCATCTAGCAACAAAAAGGGTCGGATCTACGGTGTTGGAGAACTTGCCCATAAGTTTAGGCCTGGAGATACCCTCTCATATTCAGCATCTACTGATTCTCGTGAGATTACACAATTAAAGAAACAAGTGCTTAGTTATAGGGAGGATAATGAAAGATTGAACCACCAATTACAAACACTTGTCAGTGTTGTCCTTCCTTTACTTCCACCTGATGCCCGACAAGCATTTCAACAACAACATTCCCAACAAGGATCACAACAACAATCACAACACGAGCAGCAAGTGCGGCGAAGAGCGAGCAACAACAATCACAAAATCAACCAACTTTCGTGAGAGCGACCTCAAGATGAAGAAGGACATTATTATAATTATTAGGACACTCAAACAATATTGTCATAATATTTATTATAGTACTTCTTTGGATTTGTATGTTCTTAGATATTTGAAGGACTACTTGATGCATGCTAATATTAGGATTTGTGTTTGATATCCGAATATGCATTTGGTGCATATAAATATTATGGAATATTGTTAAATTTGATATCTAAATATTTTATGTGTAATATGCATGTAACAGGTAAAATTTAGTTAAATTGGTGGTGATAAAAATGTATGAATTTACTTAGTGATTTTCCTACGGATTTACCTACGTAATTACCCACGAACAGAATCCGTAGGTAATTACCTACGGATTGCAATCCGTAGGTAATTACTTACGGATTGTAATCCGTAGGTAATTACCTACGGATTACAATCTGTAGGTAATTACCCATGAACAGAATCCGTAGGTAATTACCTACGGATTGCAATCCATAGGTAATTACCTATGAACAGAATCCGTAGGTAATTACTCATGCATTACATTACCTACGGATAGTAATTCCATAGGTAATTACCTACGACCTTATTACCTACGGATTTTTTACGGAAAAAAATCCGTAGATAAAATAATATTACCTACGAATTTTTGCCATTACTTACGGATTTTTGCCGTAGGTAATAGGCTTTTTTTTTTTTTTTTTGTAGGGCTTGGTTCACAGCAATGGCTATGATGAGCAACGTATGAAGATGCTTGGTTCACTACAATTGCCATTCTCTGGTGTAAACCAGCTGTATTTATTCCTAAACTGGCCAATCAATTAATGAGTATGGTTGCATGGACTGGGCATGGCACGCCATGGCATAGAATGGAACCAATTTTTTTAAGAAATTTTTGTTTTCTTTGTGAGATGTGATGGGAGCAGAATGTGGGGAAGGGTGTTGAAGACCATGGTGCAGAGCGCAGAATGAGAAGTGCAGCGTTTGACCTGTACCATGTCCCAAGCACTTGTCATGGCCCCAAGCACCACCCACGAGTCACCATTTCTATTATATTACAATAAATGCATGCAAATTATTTTACTTTTAAAATTCGCTATAAATTACTACAACCAACCCTCTCTTTTTTTTTCTTAATTTTCTCTTATTAAAAGATTGTAGAGATGCATGGAGAGTTCTTAATTTTGGTGGTTACAACGACACCCTATTTTAATCTCTTATTACTTTTGACCTCTGACCACTGGAAGGGGAAGGTTGGACCATGTGGCCAACAGTATTATTGCCTTAAATAAAACAGAGGCTGACTTTGATATTTCTATATTTTAACAATTTGTATTAAATTGATGTTTAAAATCTAAATTTGTTTATTGAAATAATTTCCAATTCAATTAGAAATAATATTTAGTCTGTTAGGTAAAGGAAGTTATCTCTAATTTCTACCTGCTGACAAATGTTCATTGTGCAGTTAATGTCTTACATAACATATTCACCATGGTGAACCCGTTGTACTGAATTTTTGGTCACTATTTCAGCATAAAGTATACTGAGGTGAACTTGTAGATGACGAGTTATCAACTGACATTAAAGATTTTTAGATACAATTTATCTCAATCTTAATTTGGTCCATTTTGATTTGATGGATAAGTTTGATACAGATAGAGGTCAACGGCTTCAATGGTGATATTAAAATGCAATTTGTCTAAATCGATGTTACATATCTCTTTCATGGTGCACAACATCATGTGCATGTGCTGTCAATATCCAACTATCCAGTGTCAACGTTCTTATCTTTTCATGCTGATATTTTTACTGTATATAGTACATATACATATACATTGCGTATTAACTTTTCAATTAAATAGCATCGTGTCGTGTCGGTGGAACTTTTTGGGAGGGTATTCATCAATAATATACAATTTATATTTAATTTTTGAACTATACAAATTTTAATCAAATTTTTTTCAATTAAATAATCATTAACTTTTTATAATTTTTTGTTATCAATGATCTCACCTAGTAAATAAATAATTAACTTTTCAATGCTGAATAGATTTAATTTTTCCTTCAATATTTTCTTAACAGCATTGGAAGGATGAGCGTAAAAATATTATGAAAAACAAATCAATACCTTGAAGAGATTTTTTCATTACTGCAATTTATTTCACAACGTTAAATTTAGTAACGAAGCAGCTATAAATGGAGTTTAACTACCATTAAATGTTTCATTGAGTGGTAGTAAATGAAAATTCATTGACTGATTTTGATTTCAGTTTATTGGAAATTAAACCCTCCATGATCAATTAATTATATGTTTTGGCATACTCCATGGTTTTTTTGCTCTTAACATTTTTAACTATTGATTTTGATGTGGAGAGGAAGAGAAAATGAACTGTAAGAAAGAGAAGAACTTTTCTGAAACCAGTGACATCATTTTTTTATCCTTGCCTTTGCAATTTGCATTCTTCCCATGAAATGAAACAATCCTATAATAATAGTATATATAATAATTGATTCAGGCAATACCCGTAAGTAAAATGCCTTACAACCATTCCTTTTGTTCTAGCCGGGGAAGTTTCTCCATGTGAGTTAGTAACTGAATTATATATATATATATATATATATATATATATATATATATATATATATATATATATATATATATATATATAGGTTGCATAAAAAAATATATAAGCCTGCATGTTGTGATTTGTTTGATTACTCTAAAACGCACTCCTTCTGCATATGCACCCTGCTATTTGTGCGGCATAAAATAATATGTAAACTTTGGCTTCAAAATGATTACCGAATGAGTTTCTCTTACTTCAATTCGATTGCATGTGGCACTGCTGTTCTCGCAAGCAAATACAGCTCATCTACCATCACTACCAATACACCATCATTGCAATGAACCCAGTTTGGATTTCCTTTCTCTTAACTCCTCCTGAATACAAGATGGGACATGTATCTGATATGGCCCTGGTCCCACTGCTTTTCTAGCTAGCCCCCCAATTCATCACTCTTTCTTTGTTCTTGAAGATTCGTACTACGGTTTTGGTGGACATTTTGCTCTCTGTCTGTGGATCTTTAACTAGCTTGCTCAATTTTAAGATCAAGAAGTGACTTGTAAGTATTCCATTTTTTCTCTTTATGGTGTCAACTGTCAAGTGCTCTCTGCTTTCTACCTTTTTATCTGTGTTCACTTGGGATTAGTTCCAAAATGTAAGGAAAGAATAAACCCCAAATTTTAATATTTTTAATACTTTTCTTGTGTATACAAACGAAAATATTTCTGCTATCGTATTTCTGATTGGTTCCATATAATGATGTGTTTGTCTGCTGTCAAAAGTCTTGGCCATCATCAGCAGGTTATTATTGGCTGCCTATTAAACTGACTTTTAGCTTCATAGTTTAGGTTTGCACGTTTTTGTTGTAGTCATTAAGGAGAACCAATCGAGTAGGTGAACAAAAACAATGTTAATAAGGTTAATTTACTGGTCAAACACGAGCTGCTTATTTTGACCCAAGAGATATATTTAGTATAGTAAATTGCACACTGTACATTCAAACATGTCTTCTACACATTTGTCTTTGGTTCGGGTTTGCGTATATTGAAAATACTCTTGTTTATGAATTTTCTAATTATCCTTCGATTTTACTCCAGTTTGGTTTCTTGAAAAGGTTACCAATATCTTGAGTGGAGGTCTTACTTTGCATCCAGGTTGTGTTGAACTGTTGATCTTCGTCTCTCTTCAAGCCAGAAGATGGCCAAAAAGCTGCCCCTTTTGTACATTTGTTCAGCGGCCTTGGTGATGGAAGCAGTGCTGGTTAGTGTTGTGGCTGAACCAGTGGAAGATAAGCAAGCTCTGCTTGATTTCTTTTACAACATGAATCACTCTCCTCATGTCAATTGGGATAAGAACACTTCTGTTTGCCAAAGCTGGAGAGGAGTGACTTGCAACTCTGACAGGTCTCGAGTCATAGCCCTTAGATTACCAGGAGCTGGTTTGAGTGGTCCAATCCCACCCAACACTCTCAGTCGCCTCTCAGCACTTGAGATTGTTAGTCTTAGATCAAATGGTATATCAGGCCCTTTCCCTGATGGTTTCTCTGAGCTGAAAAACTTGACCAGCCTCTATCTACAATCTAACGAGTTTTCTGGGCCACTGCCATTGGATTTTTCAGTTTGGAATAATCTTAGTGTTGTCAATTTATCCAACAATTATTTTAATGGGAGCATTCCCTTTTCAATTTCCAATCTGACTTATCTCGCTTCATTAGTCCTTGCCAACAACTCCTTTACGGGTGAGATTCCTGATCTCAATAATCCTAGCCTGCAGGAGCTGGATTTAGCCAACAATAACCTTACTGGGGTTGTGCCTAAATCTCTTCTTAGATTTCCTAGTTCAGCCTTTGCTGGTAACAATCTTACATCAGCAGCAGCACTTCCTCCAGCCTTTCCTGTGCAACCACCGGCTGCTCATCCAGCAGAAAAATCCAAAGGACTCAGTGAACCTGCATTGTTGGGTATCATCATCGGTGCTTCGGTGCTGGGGTTTGTGGTGATTGCAGGTTTCATGATTGTGTGCTGCTATCAGAATGCAGATGTGGATGTGCAACCAATGAAATCCCAGAAAAAACAAGCCTCTCTGAAAACAGAATCTTCTGGAAGTCAAGACAAAAACAACAAAATTGTCTTCTTTGAGGGTTGCAATCTTGCATTTGATCTAGAGGACCTGTTGAGAGCGTCTGCTGAGATTCTCGGAAAGGGTACCTTTGGCATGACATATAAGGCTGCTCTAGAGGATGCAACCACTGTGGTGGTCAAGAGGTTGAAGGAGGTCACTGCTGGAAAACGAGATTTTGAACAGCAGATGGAGGTGGTGGGGAGAGTTAAGCACGACAATGTAGATACAGTGAAGGCATACTACTACTCAAAGGAGGAGAAACTCATAGTATATGATTACTATCAACGAGGCAGCGTTTCTGCAATGTTACATGGTATATTGAACCACTTCTCTTATCTAGAAAATTACGGTTATATTATATTCAGTTTCTCATTGTTTCCAACAGGCTTACTAAGTACGACTAATAGAAATTCATTTATTCAGCAATCCCAAGTCTATACCACTAGGTGCACAGGGTCGGTTTGGATAAACAACATAATTTTATTGAATAAGTAGTCGCAGCTAGTAAGCAATTAAATATAAGTTAGTTTGACAATCAAAACAGAAATAACGTTGAATTGATTTTTAAAAGCTATTTTCTTAAGTCATCTTGGAGAACTAGTCGAACTAAGCTGAACAAGTTATGGATATATCGTAAGTTACTTTCGTAAGCTTTTCTGAATACTTGCACAAGTATTTGTATCATAAGACATGTCCAGATTAGTTGTAAATAAGATCTTCCAATTACTTGGACAAACTGTTCTGTCATCCTATGTAGCGTCTCTATCTACATGTCAACCTAACCTAGTAGTAGTAGAATCAGACCCTAGAGGTATGTCGTTAGGGATGTTCTAAATTAAAATTTGTCCCTGATTGTGCATTATTGAATCATGATTTCTTCTAAGTCGGGAGCACAATTCCGTCTGTCACATGGGTTGGTTTTGGCTAATATTCGTTGGTTTTCCTAGTACGTCTTTCTTAGAATTGAATTCAATAATGAAACCTTCTTCATACATATAATTATCTGGAGATGGCTAATATGAGCGTGTTGTTGCATGTCAATTATCCAGGCAAAGGAGGGGAAGGTAGAAGTCCTTTAGACTGGGATAGCCGTTTGAGAATTGCAATTGGTGCAGCAAGAGGCATTGCTCACATCCACGCATACCATGGAGGGAAACTCGTTCACGGAAACATAAAAGCCTCAAACATCTTCCTCAACTCACAAGGATACGGATGCATATCTGATATTGGCTTAGCAACACTGATGAGTCCAATACCCGTCCCAGCAATGAGAGCAACAGGATACCGTGCACCGGAAGTAACAGACACACGCAAAGCAACGCATGCATCTGATGTCTACAGTTTTGGGGTGCTACTACTTGAGCTTCTGACTGGGAAATCGCCCATAAACAGTACAGAAGGTGAGCAGGTTGTCCACTTGGTTAGATGGGTGAATTCTGTTGTAAGAGAGGAGTGGACCGCAGAAGTGTTTGATGTAGAGCTGTTGAGGTACCCCAACATAGAGGAAGAAATGGTGGCGATGCTACAAATAGGGATGACTTGTGCTGAAAGAATACCGGATCAGAGACCAAAGATGCCTGATGTGGTGCGCATGATGGAGGAGATTCGTCGTGTAAATACGCCAAATCAACCATCCACCGAGTCTAGATCAGAAGTTTCTACACCCACACCTCGTGCAGTAGACATTCCTTCTACCTCTGTTCTACAGTGAGATTCTTTTGTTCTGATCAATAGTTGTTAAGATGTAATCAATTCAATCATATTCATAACAGTAGAGATGATATCATTCAAACGGACTTGTGGCCTTGTGAAGTTAGTAAAACATATTTGTGATGATGAGAGTAGTTAAGCTACCAGATTTCGTGATAGTATATCAAACTGGGTCCCCTTGCTACTAATTATTGTATTGTATTATGCTGTCAGGGAATCTTTTGGGTCTGTTATGCTGTCAATTCATGATATCCACTGCGAAATGCACACAGGACACCTAATACGTTGGTTCAGTAATTCTTCTCACATCACTTTGATCAATTAACACTATTCATTCTGTCAACGACAGATTTGTTCCACAAGTCAAATATTTATAAATAAATAACTTCTCCTTATTCATACTTTTATTTTATAATTGAACTTATTTATGTATTGTTTGTTAAACCTGAACATGAAGCTAAAATCTTACCAATTTCCTTTCAGAAGAATCAAAACTTAACGCTTAATGCAGTATTTCTTTTTATCACTGTTGGGAAAAAAACATCAGCCTTCTATTCTGTCGAAATTGCTAAAAGGGAGAAGAAAAATAACATTGGAGACAAAACTGTCAGATGTTGAACGCACATAATTCTCCATTATACAAATATGTACGATCAGTGTAAAGAAGTTTGTCCTATAGGTTGACGTCTCCCATTGCACCTTCCATCAACAAACACTGGGGAAATTTATTATTTCCTGTACTTTTGGTGAAAGGGAGGAAGAATGATACAGACTTCTGGGGCACGCAGATGATCCATGAGGTATGAGCTTGTCCACAACAATAGATACAAAGTTGAGTCAAATATTTTGTTGCATGTATTCTTAGGCATGTCGAACAGCTGCAAGAAATTTTCCCCTAAACAACCCTATTTTCAACTCAGTACCCAGGTAATCTAAAAGCATGTTTGTGTTGCCGTTTGAAAGCTTCCAAAAATACATTTAGTATAAAAAATACAAAAACCATCCTTCTCCAAAAGTACATCCAGCATATAACGAACACTAATTCAAACAGGCTATAAAAGATTAAAACATATGGTAGTAATTTCACCAGTGCAGTCTGCGTAAAATTGTGAGAACAACATTTTCTACACAGTCGCTCAAAAATCATTTCCTGTACGTATATCCACCAAGTTTACAGACATTATCACGACAATACAAAAGGAATTCACTTCCTCAAAATTCTTGTTTTGACGCCGCCTGAAAAATAATAACAGAGAGAAGACTTAAAAACAAATGCACCAGAAAGTACTATAGTAAGATAATGTTGGCCAAGAGCTTTAGTTCCACCTTAAAAATATAAAGAGAACAAAAAAAAAACTTCCACCACATACCTTCAACTTCCTCAAACTCAATCTCCTTAACCAAGTCAGATGCCGCATTATACTCAAACCTACAGAGGAATTACAAAACAAGTACTTAGTGATAAATTAATGTCAAGAAAGTTTTGTCATAATGGTTGAAAACAATACTCATCAAAATTTACAACAGCAAAATTGTCATGAAGACAGTATAAATGTTAATCAAACTTAGTAAATTTCTGTAATGCTAAAATAATATTATTTGCTTAGCGGAAACTTTGTCCTGCGAACACATATAAGTTCTTGATAGTCAACTTATTGCTAGGAAAATGTCCATGGACCAAAAAAAACTTAGTAGAAACAATTTTAAACTTGGGTTTAGCAAATGTTACAGTAAGACTTAAGTTATTACAAATCTAACTATCGAATTTATTTTAATCAGCAAAAACAAATATATTAAATAAAGGGTAAGACATACACATAAAAAAGCACATAACCAGGTTACAAACAGAGAAAAACAAAAACATGTCAACCGCTTTGTTTCCTACATAACTAAAACTGAGAAACTTAACATAAAAGGGATTATTAGGGAATGTAGTAATGTTGCAAACATCTGCCATGCAGGTCTATAGTGTGTGTATACCCAGGTGTCTTCATGCATATCAGGACCTACCTAGTGAGAATGAGGACTTCAGAAATACGATAAAGATCTTCATAGGAGTCAAGGAATATTTTATAAATGGTGAAGCAGATTACTTCAAATTCCCATTGACAATGCACCATAATTGTAATACATACATATTCAATAAGTTTATACAGCTAATACAGTCGTACCAGATATCATCCTACATAACCAAGATAAACAAAGATGAAATACTAGTATGGTACAAAAATGGACTACATATCTTATAATCCATGGGTTTTTCCAATGTTTTATAGTGTAAAGCATCGATCAGTAGCCGACACAGAAAACTGCCGCTCAACTAAATAACATGAAATGTAAAAGATTTGCTGAAACAAGGAAAAAAATATTTTAACTTTCTGAAGCTAATTTGAACGCAGGTCATCCCTCTACAGAACATGAATTTCAAAATGAAGGATTCCCAACAAACTCATTTGTTTGCTAGCATGTATCTACAAAATTTCTAAACACATTCGGTAGAAATCCTCAGGGAACCACTGTAGATCACGAAACAGTCACAAACAAATACATTGACAAGGGATGGAGCAATGTAAGAGCGAGCAATAGGTGTAAACTCCAATTACCTGTTGGAAGAAACGACCTCAGGTTCATAAGCTTCAACAAAGGCAGTGATGATTTCATTCTTTCTAGCGCTAGCTATAAGCAAATCATACTCTGTGGGAATCATAACCGCAAGAAAGTTGTCACTTAGTTCACTGACACAAATCTTCTCAACAGCTGCAAGGGCAATCCTTCGTTTAAGGGAATCAGACTCAGGGTCAATGAGGTAAATCGCAAAATCCGTAATCATCAGATATCGGTGTTTCATCTTCCCAGAACCAGTGAATTTCAAAACTTTATCTGCAAATAGAACAATCTGGTCCCCTGAAAACAAAACACCACATAGTATTTAAGATTTTTACGAATGTATGTGTCTATTCTTCTTCAATAACAATATATAAGATTTTCATGAATTGTAACGCATTTTTTTGACATTACAGCCGCACTCTTAAATTACATAACATAAGACGCATATTAAAAATAACAGGAATAGTAGTGAAGAACATTTATTTTTATTATGGAAAAAAAGAAGTGAGGTTGCTTAGAAGGAAGCTTCAACCTTGCTTGTTCAAAAGCCTCATCAAGTTGGGGTGAGAACGGATGTCCATGTAGTCCCGTTTACGGATCTTCTCTTCCGGTTCGTCGCGTTGAACAGAAGACGAGTCATCCTCTGGAACGTCGTCGTTTTGGGGAGGCTGAGGGTTGGAATCGTCGATCTGGACCCGCCTCGACATCCTCCACCGACTTTGCCAAATCAGAAAAAAAAGGTTGAGATCGGAAGAGAGGGGTTACGAGTTATGAGTTGAGACCCATGAGTCAACTCGCCCGCGTTGAACCGTGTGATGGTCCAGTGGACCCCATCCAGCTGGCTCTCGTTCATTATTTCTAGCTCACCTATATATTGTCTAGTTTTTCCTTCTTCTTTTTTTATTTACCTGTATAACTTTAATAAATAATTTTTAATTAATTCTTGTTACAAAAACACAGACATGTCCGTGTAAGATAATATTACCAGTCTTCTACCTGTCACCTTCTGCAGTATGATTTCTACTACCGGTCAAAATCCACTTAGAAGTTTCCAGAGTAACACATGGATAAGGTCAAAATTAAGAGCACATGTTTGATAATTATTAAATTATTATATATCTGGAAAAGGGAATAAGAAAAGTGGAAAACAATGTACGAAATAAATTTAGCTAATTTTATTGGTTTAATTAAAACATGTATCGTTTCATTATAAATAATGAAAGTTATAACTAAAGCAAATCCTAATTATTTAAAAAAGAATTAAATGATGCTTAATATTTTATTTTTTACCTAATGATTTTATTCCTTACTTTCCATGGTACATGCATCTATTAATAAAAATCAATAATGCACGCGCACACAGAAACTTAATAATGCTTTAATAATTGTGTAGAGTTGGTAGAATCATAAAGCAGATTTCTTGCTCGAACTTCGATTTTTAAGTAATGAAAAAAATATAAATGCGTTAAAAGCACGAAGAAGAGGAGGAAATTTTGATTAAGGAATAATAGGATAGGAGCGGAGAGAAATATGGTTGGTTTTGGGGTGGCACTTTTTGACCTTGGGTGAGAAAAAGGAATGGATTTCGTACAAAAAACGCTAAGTAGGGGACCCACAACCGTTCTCTCAGAGCCTTTCATGCACTTATGGAAATAGGGAACAGATGGAGAGAAATAGAAATGAGGACAGAGTGTCGTCATTTTAATACAGGGCACGGAGATACCAAAAAATTTATTTTGACTTTTTTTTTCATAATAAATAAAATTACTAATATATTTTTTTTCTCATTTTTTCTTTTCAATAGAAAAGAAAAATAATAATAATATAATAATTAAGAAAAAAAATACGTATGAAAATAATAATAATAAATAAATAAGGAGAGGAGAAAGAATTGTAAAAAGGAAAGGGGAAGGAAGACAAGGAGAGTGGATCGATTCCTCAGCAGCACCAGACATTTATAAAAGCTCTTTTCTTCCCCAAATCCCTCACACTCTTCCATTTTTACCTTTCTCTCTCTTTCGCCACACAAAAAATAATACAAAACAAAAAAACGAGAATAAGAAGAAGAAGAAGAAGAAGAAGGTAAAGTAATCGTGTCTATCCACCGAGATCTATTCGTTTGTTGCGTTGTGACTAATTAGTTTCTGAATCTGCTTTTCGATTTCGGTTAGGTTTTCGCGATGGCGTCGAAGCGGATCTTGAAGGAACTCAAGGATCTTCAGAAGGATCCTCCTACCTCTTGCAGTGCCGGTATTCTTTTTTGTTTTGTTTTGTTTTGTAAATTTGGTTTTGATAAGATGATTTTATACGATCCCTGATTTTCTATCGCCGAATGTTCGTTTATTGTATTTTGGAAATTCGCGCAAATTTTTAGCCGTCCGTAGATTGTGGTTACTGTATGGAACAGTGGTCTAAGCATGATTTGGTGATGCTGAACGTTAAGCGATTGTGCGGATTTTGTGGTACTAATTAAAATATGTGTATAGGGGACTTTTATGATGATCTGATGGTGCTATGTGGATGTTCAACGATTTTTTGTTATTGCGACAGTACATTTTAGGGATATGTGATATTCTTCATTTCATTGGAACAGATTCTGTGCATGTTTTAAGCTTACATGTTCTTTTTGCCTGATAATGATAATTTTTTTTTTCTGGATTTTGCCTGTTACCTTTTGCCTTACTTGTAAGTTTCATGATTAAATTTGCAATAAGGAAACTGGATTTTAATGCATTTGTACATGTTGTTGTTACTGCCTTAGTTTGATCCAACAATCTGTGTGGTCATTAGTATTCATAACTCTTATTTCTCATTTTGAATCGCAGCTTGTCTTATGTCTAACCTGATTGGAGGGGTGATCCAAACTAATTTCTCTGCTAGGTTACATAAAATCTTTTTAAGATACTCATAATACCTAGATATTTATTGTCAAATTGACGATTAACGGTATAATTATTACGGGGGATATGGCTTGGTTTATTTTCAAGATTTATAATCATGCTACTATACTAATTTTTGAAGTTATAGTAATAAACATAGCTGGATAAACCTGTTGGAAATTCGCTTTGGGACTTAGGAATTGATTGAAAGCCTGAGATGTTTTTCTGTGCTAATATATTAGGACCTAAGAATCTATCCGTTCTAGTTACGTGTTTTCGTATAGAAGTACTTAGTTCTTATCCCACATTTTGTCTATTTTTTTTTTTTTAAAAACATTGCAGGACCTGTTGCTGAAGACATGTTTCACTGGCAAGCAACAATTATGGGTCCTCCAGACAGTCCTTATGCAGGAGGTGTTTTTCTAGTCACTATTCATTTCCCTCCCGACTATCCCTTCAAGCCACCCAAGGTTTGTATTTTATTTAGGTGTCTATTTCTGTAACGTTTCTACATTTCCTTTAATTTTGTACTGGTTATTTTTTAGATAATGTCATAATGCATTTTTCCCACATGTTTATCTTGTTTGGAGTTTTTATGTTCTAAGTGATCCTTTTTCATAGTGAATGCCTCTTTGAAACTCTCATATCTTACCAAGAATTAAATTTGTTGTTTGGTCTCAACGTTCAAAATAGTACAAACTATAGCGTTTATATTGTTGAAAATTTTAACGAAAATTCTGTTCTTATGTAAAAAATTGTTTTGTATGCCCTCATGAGCCCTGTGCCGTGCAATTCCTTCAGCTGATCTTGTATGTACTCATGGATTGTGAATCCCTTTCAGGTTGCATTCAGGACGAAGGTATTTCACCCAAATATTAATAGCAACGGAAGCATTTGCCTTGACATCTTGAAGGAGCAGTGGAGCCCTGCTTTAACTATTTCTAAGGTATGTTTCTTCATTCTTTCACATAATAAGATCATCTATTCCTCAAACTACGCTTTAATCATTCTCCCAACTTAAAGTACTGCCTAAACTTGTGTGTTTCACAGGTTTATTGGGCACATGATCCTAATACTTGTTTTCAATTTTGTATCCGATATTAAAGTTGTTTTAAGTTATCATCTAATGATTGTGTCAAAGTATTATAAAAGATGTTTGACCTTAAAGGTAGTTAATATTACAGACAATTTTTGGTTGAATTGAATGATGTAAAATCATTTTGTTGTTAATGGAAAAATTAAAATCCTTGTATTTCTCTACAATGAAGTCTGAATGGATATTTTAAGTTTGGAATTATATTGTCAATTGAGTAATTCTCATGGAAGGAGACCGTCATATGTAGCTTGATATTTGATTCTTTCAAGCAGCAACCAATCTGGCCCTTCTAGTTGGGGTTTTAAGCATCACCGTTCTAAATTTCCTTTTTTTGAGCACAGTATGTTGGATTTCAACTAAGCATTATTTACTTTGTCTTTCACATGTTTAGGTGTTGCTCTCAATTTGTTCCCTGTTGACGGATCCCAATCCTGATGATCCTTTGGTCCCCGAAATTGCCCACATGTACAAGACAGATAGGAACAAGTACGAGTCAACTGCCAGAAGCTGGACCCAGAAATATGCTATGGGTTAAGTGACCTGTGGTATGTGTGAAGGAGAGCCCTTCTACTTCCAGTATTTAGGCCTCTCAGCCCTTGTATGAATATTTGTCGCTTTCAATTATGATTAAGGCCCCTCCAGTTGAAGACGAAAGGGGGAATATGTTCTCCTACTGTTTGTCTTCAAATGGTAATTTAGAACAGTGAAATGTGGCCCCAATCAAATGTTATCCTCAAATTTTTAAACTTTCTAGTAGTGTCATTGCATGCCATTATTATTTTTTTCCTTGATTAACTTAATGAAGGTGAATTGAAGAGTTGCTCATATTATGTGATAGTTTTCCCAAGTATCTGCCGCGGATAAATATACTGTGGAAAATTTCGTGATAAGAAAATAGTGGAAAATTGCAATTGCAATTGCATGATGATAAGAAAATTAGGAGGGTAAATTATCGTAATTCGTTATTATTATACCTGTTCATAAACCTATAATCCTTTGATCATCTGAACTCGTACTTGCTTCCCTTTTGTTTCTTAATAGTGGCCATACTTTTAAATGAAACTTACAAAAATTGAAATTAAGTTTCAAATTATCAATATTAAACATTTTTTTCGTAAATATATATACATATATGTATATCTATAAATAAAATACAAGAGATAAATGTTATTTGTATTAAAAAAATGTAAAAGATGTAAGTTGTTTTTATTAAAATCAGAAGTAAAATATAAATGTCTATTTAAAAATTATAAAATAATATTATTATTTTATTTTGTATTATTTAGTGCAATTTCAGGTTGATGTAATTTCGTCTGTTTTCTTAGAATTGGATTAAATACTGGCAAGGAGGCTTATATATATATATATATATATATATATATATATATATATATATATATATATATATATATATATATATATATATATATATATATATATAAAGAAATGCAAAATCTGACGAGTTGATGCAAAAAATTATAAAGAAAGTGATTACTAATTTGAAAGGTGCTTTGAAAAGAAAAGAAAAGAAAAAGAAAAATACAAAAAGGGTATGCTGTATTAAAGGAGAGTACAAATAACATCTTTAAAGTTTGCAAACAGACCCGTGGAAAAACAGTCCATGCGGTAAACCCTTTAATCACATGTGATTGAATGATTGATGCTAAAAAAACTTGTATCAAGAATTATCTACTATGTATTTAAAAGTACGTAGCCTGTGCGGGCTAAGGGA